TTTGTTTGGGGGGAAGTTTTGGGATAACTAAACATTTTCTTGCCATTTTTGACAGGTATTTCCAGAAGCAAAAATGAAACTGCCCTGTTGTTCAAGTCATTTATGAAAACGTTTGCTTCCAACTGCAATGTGGGGAATGAATGCTAAGCATCTCCTATGTTAATCCCATCTCCCTGGAGCATTTTACTCTCTTGTGGAAGGATTGATTTAACTGTGAGTCAGCCAGCAGTTATTTGGTACATTGAGTGAGCTGAGAGAAACCGTCTCCAGAAAGCGGCACGTTCCCATTCTTAGTGGGAAATGCAACTCTGTCACATGCTAACTTTCCGTAAAGACTGCACTGAAGGAAGGAGAGAGAATGTGAATTCTGGTGCCAAGGTTCAGGCTTAAGAGTAGCTTTCAAGGTGTGGAGTAGCTTTCCAGGTGTAGATCCTGGACAAATGACTATATTTATTCATGCTGTAAAATGAAGAAATAATGTATAACTCATAATCTTATTTGGGAAATTCAAAAAAGGCATATGTAAAAAAAAAAACAAAACCACTTGCCATATTATCTGATCTAGAATTGGCTTGTGATTAGGAGCCACAATTTACCTACAATTCTGTCAACATCAATATGAGGAAAATATATCTATTTAGTTCATTTAACCTATGGACGGTGTGCAAGGTGATAGAAGTTTGTGGCCAATTTAAAATTTTTCATTGCTATTATAATTTACCAGGTACCACCAACAGGTTCAACTGCTAGAATTCAAACAAGAAAATAGAGCTATCCTGTCCCAAGGTATTATATAGATTGGTATACCAGGGTTAAGAATATTCCTGGGTTAGGAACAGGGGCAAATGTTCTCAGCATTTAAAGATTTTTCTACATTTGTTTATTTTGGTGTGTGTATGCATATGTATGCGTCATAGCATAAGAGTGGAGGTCAGAGAACAGCTTTCAGGAGTTGGTATTTCCCTTCTACCATGTGGGTTCCAGGGATCAAATTCAGGTGAGCAGGCTTGCCAGCAGCAGGTGCTCCTACAAGGGGAGCCATCTCTAGGGTCCTGTCCTCATCCTTTGAATCTGTCTTTGCCTAAAGCCTCAAAGCAGAGAAAATGTTCTTTGCTGCCTCTGTTCTCTCTGTAGTAAGCCCTAATTACCCCAGGTTGCCTGCTTCTTCTTAAGCAGTCATTTGAAAGAGGCATGTCTGGAATTAAGTGGGGGATCCTTTTCTCAATGTAGTTGTCCTTTATGGGGCCTGGCCAACAGCAAATAGTCAGGCTAACTGGCCACTACTGTCAACTCTGTATTGAAAGGGGAAGTCCCACAGAGCTACAAAAGATTGCTCTCTTCATCTATGAAGCTAAAGATTTTGGTGCTGAGCAGAAGGAGAGCATAGAGCCAGAGCAAACATACACTGCACTATCTGGGAAAAGCTATGTGGTCTTCAAAGATGTAGATTTGAAGATGAAAACACTGGATTCAAATATTTTGACAAAAGCAGGCCATTTTCTAAGTGTTTGTTACTGGCTTTGCACTGCTAGGAATGAATACCTAGTAGAAACAAATTAAGGACAGTCATATTTACTTCAGCTCATGATCTCACAGTGCTCAGTCCATGGTTGCTTGACTTTCCGAATCTGCAAGGAAAGACAGGCAAGTTCATGACAGTGCGAGGAGCACATGGCAGGAACTGTTTCCATCATTGTAGAGAGGAAATGAGAGGGAAGATTCTATTGCATGGCCGGCCTTCTGCTCTTCCAACACCTTGATCCGTGGGATCACACTGCCAGCAGTTAGCTTCTCCCTGTAGCTAGTCCTCTTTGATGACTCCCTGAGAAAACCCAACTCCTCCTAGCCAAGTTGACCATGATGATGAGGTATCACAGTGATAAACATCCCTCACATATCCCTGTTAAACAAATGAAGAGCTCAATGAGGCCAACTGAGCTTCTTTATTGGTACTACTGTACTACGTAGTGGTGCTACCCATGTGGGGAAACTGGCAGCTGCCACCACAATCTGATGATAGGCTTGGTGACTTTCAGTTTCACCCATGGATTCATAACAGAATTGCTGTACCAGTCTTTCCATGCTGTCATCAGCATCCAATTCCCATAGCACAGGTTGTCAGACAAACCTGATACTCAATCCAAGGGCAGATCTGAAGGGAGGAGAATCAAGACTTTGGGTTTCATGAGTTGAGAACCAAACAGAGCCTACTGACAATTCCAAAGGATTTTCATGAGTTGTTTGGCAATGCTAAGTTGAAACTGGCCACGCTGAGCATATTTGCACCACAGAAATCTGCAAGTGCTGCACATGAGAACTCCCCTCCCATTCTCAAGGCCAATGACAAGGAGAGGAGAGGAGAAAGGAAAACAGCGGAGAGTCTCCACCTTGCCACATTTGCACCAACCGCTGAAGAAGATCCAGGAAGAGCCTTTGTAAGCCAACAAACAAGAAAGACAGATGTGTGCGCTTTTCATTTTGGGTCTCATCATGCCTTGGTGTGCATCATTTATTTATTTTTATGTAAGCAATTAATGAATAGATTATTTCTGTGAAATACAATATAAATAATATAGCAGTAAATAAGTAAAATTAAAACATCCTTTTCATTCACTTGTATTCCCATTTATACTGCTCTTCTAAGATAATGACTTGCCAGAATCACACACCCTTTCAGCCCCCTTTCTGTATGTGTACCCACATAGAGGAGTATAAGTGCATATACATGTCTGTATGCACTCACAGACATATATGATCACATGTACTCTTATGTGTTTTATAGTCTTATATTTTTATTAAACTAAGTCTAGTGAAGGCATGTAGTTGGACATTTTCTGTCTCACCCTCCAGTTCCCAAATAACCACTCAGAGACTTAATATTAGTTATAATTGTTTAGCTAATGACTCAGGCATATTACAGACTACCTCTTACTATTAAATTAACCTATTTTTATTATTTTATATTTTACCACAAAGGTCATGACTTGCTAACTTACATCTTGTTTCCCTTGTGGCTACATGATGCCTCTTTGACTCCCTCTTCTTTCTTTCTCCATCTCTGTTTAGATTTCCTGCCTAGCTATATTCTGTCTTGCCACATGCCAAAGCAGCTTTAATATCAACCAATGGGGGCAACATATATTCACAGCATACAGAAGGAAATCCCACCTCAAAGGCAGGCACCCTAAAATATTGTTCACTCCAAGACCACATAACCTTTTCTGAAGCTGTACTCATTTAAATAGATATTTTTCTTTTCTTTTTTAAAAAAAGAAATTTGTTTGTTATTTTTTAATTGTGTGTGTGTGTGTGTGTGTGTGTGTGTGTGTGTGTGTGTGTCTTTGTGTGAGTATGTAAACATGAATGCAAATCTTCAGAGTACGGAAGGATCCCTTGGAGCTGGAGATACAGATTGCTGTGAGTCACTTGACATGCATGTTGGGAATCAAACCCTGGTTCTCTGTCAGAGCAGGAAGTGATTGTAACAGTCTAGCAAACTCTCCATCCCCAGAAATGATTTCTTTCTACCTCTCTTTACTCTAATACCATTAATGCTTTAGGAGATGCTGAAAAAAAATGTAATTTACATTAAACAGGAATTGATATATTTTTGCTTGCATCATAAAATGCTACTATTAAATTGCTTATAAACCTCCTTATTTTGTCAAACATAAATTACCTGCAAATAACTTGGAGAGAATGTAACAATGGAGATAATGCACTTAATATATAAAAATCAATTATTTTGAGATATTTGGCTACTATCTTATATAAATAGCTCATAAAGTTGGTCTCATTTATTGATGTTTCAGCGAAAGCAACCACATATTTGAAATGTGGATTATATTGCTGAAAAATACAATTAATTACCTGGAACAAAATAGGATCATTATCTCATATGGTATTATTCATGGAGAATATTTTAAAAATTGTGACACGCTATACAAGCAGTAGCTACTGATATGAGTATAATACAAAATTCATTCTCTCCTCTTTGCACAAAAAAATTATTAAATGGGTTGGATATCACAAGTTCATTGTTTATACTTTGACACACACTTCACACAGTTTTCTCTGTGTAAATGTTTATCCCTAACTTGCTGAGCAACTGTTACGCATGATGCATAAACCTTCATCTTTCAATATTCAGATAATTTAGACTTTCTCTTATATAATTTAAGGATCTTACATATGAGTCACTACTAATGGATTTGAACTAAGTTCTGCTAATTCTCAGATTAGTCATTAGGGAAAGGAATCAATGTGACAAGAACAACACCGCACCCCAACCCACCCCCTTAAAACTAATAATGCCCAATGCATAGGCATTTGTAGACTCTGCCACATCTGCCTGTGATGGATCTGAATGATCAGGTATTGTTCAAGATTGATTACTCCCTCAGTGGCCATAGGAAGTCCTCAAGCAAGCAGACATCGTCTATTTCCTCTTAGACTCATCTGTGTTTGGCATAATACAATCTGCTAATCATTATCAAATAAATAGCTTCAAAGTAATGAAAACAGTGACCAAGTCATTGCATGGCCTGTGCTTCATTCAAACATGTAGAGGCACTTGACACTTCTTTTATTCTGAAGGCTATTTCCTAAATGTCCTAATTACCACTGAACATTTATTTTGCATCAGCATGCTGCTGGTGGCATCCACATTTAATCAGTATAGTCACTTTGAAATCTTCACTGGTACATGTTTATCTCTAGATCCTACGACCTTAGGCGATGCAAGCTTTGACTCCATAGACTGAAGTTTGTGCTGTTTCTCCTTTCTTTAAACAAGCTTAGTCTTTGGTAGCCAGTACTTAGGGGATTCCCAAAATATTTGCAAACATTTCTGTCAGATAGCATCAGCATCACCATATGATTTAAACAAGCATGTATTCATCACACTTAAACCAGATGTCATCAGAGTAGATGAGAAATGAATCATCCACTCCTGACAGCTTGTTTATTTCTGGCAATATTTCCAGCAGGGATTGTTGAAATGTGTAGCACACTTCCTTCATATCTGGGCATGAGGTTGAGATTCTAAATGCCACTGGAAAAAATGCCTTCCTTCAAATCAAGCTCCATTCTACTCAGAACAAGAAGAAGGTGGGGGAACAAGGCAGGTCTCAGGGTCTCCTTGGGACATATGAATAATAATCCAGTCACCGTCAGCATTTCCACCTCCAGCCTGAAGGATTGTTCCCATCAATTAAAGGTTAGTTCCCACTAACTAAAATGTGCCAGGCATGGTGTTGTTATTTAACTTGTTCAGCTTTCTTTTTTTTAATGTATTTATTTTTATTTATGTGTGTGTGTGCCTGAATGTCTGTATGTACACCATAGGAGTGCAGGTACCACTAATATTAGAATATGGTATCAGATCTCCTGGAACTGGAGTTATAGGCAGTTGGGAGCTGTCCAGTGTGGGTGCTAGTAACTGAACCCAGGCCCTCTGGAAGAACAATATATGCTCTTAACTACAGAGCCATCTTTCCAGCCCCACTCTGCACAACTTTTTACCTATTCATCTTTTCTTCATTCAGACAAAAGTACCAAGTACACAGAGAATGTACATAAATAACTCAAGTAATCCTAGGCATTTAATATGAGCTGAATCAGTGATTCCCACTGGGTCCTCCGACTCTAACCCATGTGTCAGATTCTGGGCTCACAATCTTAACCTTTAAGGATCTCTTGTTCCTTGTATATGGGATTAGAGGGTGGGGTAGGCAATTAAATAATGGATTCTCTACAGTTTTTTATTTCTGAAAGACTTAAGCATCCTCAACTGCCTAGAGAGTGCTATAGGAAATTGTGTAATCACTTTGCAAACAGGAGTCCACAAACTGTAAAGGGGCAGGGACTCAGCCTCCACAAAGAAAACGCATCTGATAGCATCCCCCTTCATTTAAAGTTCATAGGTAAGACCATGTGCTGTGAAATCCTTTTTTTTGTAAGAAGCCTCATGGATAAAAGGGTTTTCATCTGGTGGTCAGGCAGTGCTAAAGAATCAGAGAAACAATACGAACCCAGAAAATGATCTCTTGGAGTCACGTTACAGTCCCTGAGGCAATTGGATGGCTTAAAACAATGAGGGAGATGGAGAAGAAATGAATGGGGTGGACTGCCTAGTTGCAAGGATAAGGTCTTTTCCATAAATCTCATAGGTCAGGCCAGCTCCCAGGTCAGAAGGTCATGATTCAATGACCAGAGAACCTTGTATATCAGCTTTAATTATTTCACCCTGCTTCATCCTAGAAGGAGACAGCTATGTACACACACACACAGACAGACACACAGACACACAGACACACACATGGACGCACAGACACACACACACACAGAGAGAGAGAGAGAGAGAGAGAGAGAGAGAGAGAGAGAGAGAGAGAGAGGGAGAGAGAGACAGACAGAGAGAGAGACAGACACACACACACATGGGCTGGGGGAGGGGGGCAGGCCTCCTATACTAAAGTCATCTAATCCCTTTTGAAGTTAAAGATGTAAAGATACAGGAGCCTAATCCATAAAGGTTGCTGACAGTAGAAGACCTGGATGTCCTGTCTGAGATAAGAAAAATGTGTCCCTTCCCAGGGCTGCTGCAATCGAGTTTATTCCCATCCCACTACAGGTCACAGGCTTTAGAGACTCCCTCTTTTCTCTCATGGAACCACGGATACACCCTCTGCCCTGGAGAGCAGAATCTCTTTCCTTAAAGGATACATTACCTCATGGTGATTATCTGCTACTAACCAAAGGCCTTTTCCTAAGAGGAGAAGTTAACGCCACAGGGTTCACACAGACTTGGGAAACCATGCTTGAGTTGGGGCAGTCAGACTATTAGAATTTATTTTTGTGTTTTAGTTTCTGACTGATCTGACTGAAACATTGTTTCAACTTTAATGGGCCAAAATTGAGAGGAAGAGCTAATTGGTGGAATAGACACTGATCAGCACCCACAAAAATCCCATGGGTGGTCCACCACAAACAAAAAGCAAATCTTTATTCTGTGTGCTATCTGGGATCCCCTGTGGGAAAGATTTGGATTTCTGGCAGCCTTAAATTTGACAGCAACCTCTTAGTATGTAGATGAGCAAGGTAATTTGGCAGCAAACTCCATGCTCACCAGACTGGTATATCAGAACTAAATCACAGATGTCACACACATGTTCTCTGAGAAGGCAGAGAATTGATAAGGTGCCAAAGCCCATCACACCCACGCCATCCCTGTTCCAATTGATAGATCCTCTCATCCTTGAAATTCTGACAACTGTTATTAGAGATAGAGGCCCTAACTCATATCTCTTCCTGACTCTTTATCCATCTTCCCAAATCGTGCCTATCTGAGCCTAGCTCAGACTCATTTAATTATGACATCTGAATCAATACCCCATCCTGGTCCTGCCTGCTCCAGCATGCAGCAGAGGGTCCAATCTCCATGACAGCCTTTCTTGGAAGTTCACCTTTTCATTTGGAAAAATAAAAGAAAACGCCCCACTCCCTATTGCCTCTCCTTATTTATTTTTAATTTTTGAAACCAGTTGTTACTTACAGGCCTGGAAAGATTTAGCATATGCATAGGGAAAATACATTGTATTTTCTGAACTAAGATTCAGTTTCTGCCTCTGAAATGTCAAGCTAGAAACTGGAAAATGGAAATGAAGCCAACGGCAATTTAAATAAATTACAAGCTGACAACAATATGCCTGGGTGATGTTTTAAATGAAACATATTAACTGCAGAAATATCGGGAAACCTTCAAACAGTGGAACAGACTCCATCTTGACACTGTGGTGGGCTTTTCAACACTCATCTGTATAGGAACATGTTATGAGGGAAAAGAGACTGCATAGGAATAATGAAACTTACCTTCTTCTGTCAGCTGTCACAAAATACCATGAAGTAAAAATGAAACAATACAAGTTTCTGCCTTACAGTTCTGGATGATGGGAAGTTAAAGACCAAAGAGCTGGCAGGGTCACTGTCTGCTGGGGATCTGTTTGCTGACTCACTATTTTGCTGCTGTGCCCTCAAGAGCAGAGTTCTTAGAACTCATCTTGTGTACACGTGTGTGATGTGTGTATATGATATTGCTCTCTCTCTCCCTGACACATTCACATGTTTGCATGGATTCGTGTGATGTATGAGTTTGTGTGGAGATTCAGAGTCAATGCTGAGTTGGTATCTTCCTCAATTACTCCCTACTTCATTTTAAAAGTATTTATTTCCTCTGAGTTCTAGGTGTATGTGTGCGTTTATGACAATATCTTTTACATGTTCCTAAGACATAGGCCCTTTGTAAGACCAGATGGCTACAGGACTATACAGGTTCTTCCAGTATGCAACATCTAAGAATCTGAAAGCTGAAATCCAGTATTTGGTGATAAAATTGTAGGCTTATGTATGTCAATAATGCATATGTGTACATATCTCTATAGGGTCTGAGCCATAGTATAAGTAGAGGGTATAGGCTTCTATGTATCTGTGCAGAAAATCAGCCCCAGACACCTTTACTGTTCCATATAGAGCCAGAGAAGTAGTTAAATTGCTTTAATAATATTTTATCTATGTTTTGGAATAAAGGTAATCTCCATATCATGAGAGATCCAAATGATGAGCACTTCCAGACACACAGAGACTCGGCATCCTTGAAACCAGCTTTCGGACATTTAGAGGAAAACTGTAGAAAATTGAGATATAGTCTGAGGGACTCCTCTATATCATGGTGAATTTCTTATAAAAAGCTATTAAAATCTTTTTAATGAAGCCTTGAAAACTAGTAACTGCCAAAAGGAAGGTAAAGGGGTCCATTGTGTTTCTGCTAGCTGGCAGTATTGATGCCATCATAGTGCTACACATAGTTTTTAAAGTTGTTTGGGTTTTTTGTTTTGTTTTTACTTTTATTTATTTGGGGGGTGCGGTGTATTCATGACCCAGAATGTATGTGGAAGCCAGAGGACAGCTTTCCATGGGTTGTTTCTTTCCTTCTACCATGTGTGTTTTGGGCATTGAATTCAGGTCTGTAGTACGGGTGGGAAGTGCCATTGAGCCATCTCACCAGCTCCTAAACTGACTTTGTCCTGAAGTAAAAACTGTTGTCATGATTTTGTCATGTCATGTCATGGGGAATGAGTCAAGATCGATGTGAGACCAAATATCATTGTAAGGGAAATTGGAGGTCTAAGCACTGGAGCGGACCCACCAAATGATACCATTAGCAAATTATAATTATGACTGACACTGTCCTCTCAAACATCTTGACTAGAATACTTTTTTGTAGGATTCAGAATATGTCCAAATACTGTTTTTTGCTCAAATTACCATGGCCATATTAAAGAGACAAATAATACACACACACACACACACACACACACACACACACACACATATATATATATATATATATATATATATATACCTCTCTTCACAAAACAAAATATCATCAAAGTATTTGATGCAGTGTTGATTTTTTTCAGTTTCTAATTAGGTCCTAGCATCTAGTTTAGGGGATGCTATCAGAAATGCATTCCTTAATGATCACAGAACAAAACTTCGCATCATTTACTATATGGGAACATAATAATCTTTACAACTCCTAAAATATCTTTCAAAATACTTCTTTAAAAGCCCTACACAATTTCCAGCTTATAGTAGAGGCCTGACAAAGGATGGGAAAAGAACTCTACTTTTCTGCTTTTAAACTAATTTCCCATCATTTGCAGATCACTCAACATTCAGGCTTTCACACAAGGAAAGAACTACAGTTATCCAACTCTGGTTCTTAAATCCTTGATTTAATCTGCTCTACCTCAAATTCAAGTATCTTCTAGGACCATGAAAAGGCATTAGTAGATCCTCTTTTCATAATTGATGTGGTTACAAATGTCCTTGGAGTTCCATATAACAAGATGCTTGGGTCGACAGGTGGATGTCACTTAACACAGAAAGTCCCTGGGTTAAGACTGCATTCTCCTGCTGGGGACCACGAAGAAAATCAACCTTCAACCTTGTGATGTAATGTACCCTCATCTCTTGCAAATGGAAACTCAGAGGGGTCCAGAACAGAAAAAGGTAACTGATATTTACCACTAAGTATAGTGGTGCACACCTAAAAACCCATTGCTCACTAGGCTGAGAAAGAATATTACAAGTTCAAAGGCAATCTGGGCTATGCAGCGAGTCTGTGCCTCAAAACAATAGCAACCAGAAAAAATGAGGTTGCTAGTAGACTTTGGATGAGCAGAGGCTGTTATGAGCAAACTGGGGTGTTTAGCAACAGGTTGCTAGTAAAGTTTGGATGAGCAGAGTCTATTCTGAGCAAACTGGGGTGTTTAACAAACAACACAGCCATCAACTCATCATTCAGTTTCTGAGGCTGTTTTCTTATATACAAAGTGGTCAATTTCAGAGGATTACAGTAAATCCCAATAAATAATTGTTTTTATAAAAGTTCTTATTCCATGATTTATATTTTTATTTTATTTTTGACATTATTATGTAGCTAGACCAGTTACCCTTCCCATTTCACACTTCCAAACTCTCCCATCCATAGTCTCACCAACATGACCACCAAAGCATGAAATGATCATGGACAACAGCAGACATGCCAAAGTGGACAGCGGAAAAGCCATGAAACCTCAGCCCTACACAGAGAACTACAGGCAACTAAGGAATTCTGAGAGTTAACGTTTAAAGAAATTTTACAACCTACAAATCTCTAACAACCAAAGCTTTGAGTATGGTATGTAATGTCATGTTAGCCTCTGGTATTTCTGCTAGTGTGATTAAACAAGTCATAGGAGGGTTAATGAATCCAAGGGAAGAGAAGAAAACAGTTCATATTATTATATTATTATTCTAGTCTATTTTTAGTTATGTGTTAGTATTAACTAATCAGCTATACTATTTGCATACCATGTTTCATGGTTTCATTATGCTAAATATTTTATGACTTTCTACTTTGTTTCAGTTTTCAAGAATGAACACACTATGGATAATCCTCATAATAGCAAATGACTGAAAAATACTCACATTCCAAAATTACTATGGTGTGCTTAGGTAGTTACTTTGTAGATAGAAGGTTCTGTAGACTTGTGATACAGCCTATTAAAAGCTTATGCAAAATTATGGTTCAGCATGAGTGCCTATGGAAAAAAAAACACATGGCTTTGGCTGTGGCAAATATAATTTGTGCTCATGGTAAATTTGACTGCCATAAAAGTACAGTCTCTGTTTCCTTGGGGAAGGCTAGCCTGTAGAACATTGAGAAAGCAGCTCATCTATACTTAACATGGGATAGGTCATGTAGGACAGCTTGGAGCCATTCCAAAGGTGATGTGTGCAGTGATTTTTATGCTGTGGGATATAGGTCATGTCCCATAAATGGTACTACATAGAAAAATCTATTCTACAAAAAGATATATTACCTGTCGTTGCAAACCTGAAATGCTGTCAAGTAAAAGATAGGTTTACAGTTCCAAATTATAAGACAAGAATGAACAGATTAAAATTACAGGGACAATGGTTGGCAATGATGTGCCAGGTTCCTTTCCACTGTTCAGACTTGTTCACAAATCAAACAGGATGCATTGTGGGGGAGTGATTCGTTGTTGCTTTCAATGTTAAAAAAGCAGTTTGAGTTTTTGTGTCTGGGAGGGAACAATAAACTAGATCAGGTATTTTCCAATTATGGTCTGCAGTATCTAAGGAAGACCCTGAGATGGCTGTGGGAATGATGTAGAAGGGGACAATCTGGTATGCTCAGTGGGACTCTAAGCCCTCATCCCTGACTCAGCTGGAACAGTCTGGCTTCTGCCTGTTGTTGAGTGCCTATTGTCATTATGTGTGTTTGTGTGTGTGTGTATGTGATGTTTATTTAACATATCATTTTAATTTTGGAAAAAAATAAGATGGAGAAGTTCTACTAGGCAATTTTTTAAAAATCACAGACATCAAATCTTCCTTTTCTGCAAGGGTTCCACAAGGATGTGATTTGAATTCCAAAGATTGGTCCACTGTATGCATCTTCACCTCCACTCAAACATCCCCGCAGCCTAATTTGAAAATAATTCCTGATGTGTCATGTGCCCATCTCCTTTTCAACACTTTTGGATCTGCTAATTTTCTTTTCCACTTGTGACAACAGAAATCAGTCCAGGGATTCAAGATACCAAACACATGGTTAACAAAATAAGCCACTGAGAGTACAGCAAGTTTTGTGCAAAATACAGTTCAGAAAATCAGTATGGGTGACTATGTTTTACCGATGTTTTTAAACATTAAAACTAAGTATTAAAATGAAATTTTCCTATGGATCTTATTTTTGTTATATAAAAAGTTGGAATTTTATTAAATTTTCTCTCAAGGAGCCACACAAGCTGAATATTCTTTATTTGATTGATCCTCTGTCTGGATACAGCACCTATGGTCACATTTTGTTTATATATGATGTCCTTAATGTCATTGTGGTCTTAATAATTTTTATCAAGGTTTTTTTGTTTGTTTGTTTTGATTTTTGGTTTTTGAAAGAGGGTTTCACTGTGTAGTCCTGGCTGTCACAGAACTCACTCTGTAGGCCAGGCTGGTCAGAGATTCATATTTGGTTCAAGTTCAGGAGACATGTGATTGTGAGTGCTCAGTCCTACAGGGGAACTCTCAGAAAAGTGTTGGTGACATACCTGCTGCACGATAGGGCAGCAGGCCTGTGAGATGTTGGTTTCTGGACATGGCATGGCTGCTGCACACATGAACTCACAGGAGCTGTGTTCAACCCCACAAGGTCAAGCTACTTAAAAATCCAGCATGGAGCAGGAAGGGAACCCTGATGCCCCTACCCATAGTTAGGGAGTTGGTGGTAGCTGATGGAGGCTGAAGCCAGGCTAGTCGCTTTTCTATGGGTCAGCGGCTACTCACTGGTTGTTTACCAATGCCCCCATGGACGATCCCACACCCACGCCTATTAGCAGCACTAACAGGACTTGGTGCATTATTTAAAAGAGAAAGAGGATGTAAAATTGGGAGGGAGACATGTTGTAGGGGTGCAGGGGGAGGTTGAGGGATGAGGGAAGGAGTAGGGGGTAGACACTACTAAAATACACTGCATATACATATTCAGATTAAAAAAATAAAAGTCTTCCTGGGCAGTGGTGGTGCATGCTTTTAATCCCAGCACTTGGGAAGCAGAGGCAGGTGGAGCTCTGTGATTTCCAGACAGCTAGGGCTACACAGAGAAACCCTGTTTCAAAAAAGCAAAATAATAATGATTAATAATAATAATAATAATAATAATAATAATAATAATCTAATACACACATAAAACCAAGAAGAGAAAAAAGTCTTTACTGAAGGCAAAGGCTTGTTAAATGTTCACTGAAGTATTTTAAAACTCTTCTATGTAAAAAAAAAAAAAAAAAGATAAAGAATTCAGCCATGTAAGGAGTAAAGTAACAACTCATGCTGTAACTTGTGATAAGTCCAAAAACACAATGTTAGGTTAAACAAAAACAAAACAAACAAAAAACCTCACCAACGCCCTCAAAAAAACAAAATCAAACAAAACAAAAAACAAACATAAACCACAAAAAACAATCCTATATGGAAAAATGTAGAATTGGTACAGACAGGAATTACAGTGGTGGTTGCCAGGGGCCCCGAGCAGGAGGAAGGGAGGCATAACTGGACTAGGGATGGACACTCTTTGGGGGTGATGAAAGGGTTTTAGAATTAGACAGAGGTAGGAGGCACACAACACATAAATGTTTTAACAGTTACTAAACTGTTAATAATGGTTAATTTTCATTAGTGAATTTCATGCCAATTAAAGAGCCATGCAGGGAAAATTAATTTTGTGAATCATCTCTGGGAATAAAATATTAAATATCCTTTGTGGTCGACAACATACTAAAAGGTAGTTTTATCTTAAATTTAATATTAAAAGATGTTTTTACCTCAGCTTCCCTGCTCAGAGATGCCTTCTGTAGATTGTTATTTCTTCATCTATATTTTAAGAAATATTTGAGACAGTGTTTTGTTATGTATCCCACACTGCTTTGAACTTATACACCATAGGTTGGTGTTGAATTTATGATTCTCTAGCCAGTTTCTGTGATTATAGGAACATACAATCATACCAAGAAGTATTGGCTAGTTTTTCAGTGACATTGTTCAGGAGGATTGCTATGACCTATCAACACGTACACACCAACGCCTGCTGTATAAAAATCCTTATGTATGCTGTGAAGATCTGTTGCTCTGATTGGTTTAATAAAGAAGCTAACTGGCCAATAGCTGAACAGGATAAATTTAGGCAGGAAAAGCCAGACTAAGAGAATGCTGGGAGGAAGATGGGTGGAGTCTGCAGTCACCAGAGGATAAGAGAAATCCAGAGATGAACCATGCCATGTTAATAAAGGTGCCACCATGTGGCAGAGCATAAATGAGATATTTTGTTAACTTAAAATGTAAGAGCTAAATTAGTAATAAGCCTGAGCTGTTGGCAGAATATTTATAATTAATATATAAGTCTCTATGTTGGTTATTTGTTCCGGACAGGTAAACTTCCACTTACAAACACCTTGGCCATTGAGTCAGACATACAGCTAGGCTCTGGCAACCCCTTCTCATCTGTGGTGTCAGCATACTGAAGGAACCTTCAGTTCATTTTGGAAAACCAGATTCAGCCCAAGAGAAAGGCATTATCCTTCATTCTTGAGCCAATCACCTCTTCTGCTTTTCAATGTATCAAATCTCGACCTGAGTTCTAGAAGAGACAAACCATATAGCTGTAGAAAGACTTCTTATTTTTATTGGAAACAACAATGCAAAAATGTAGAAAATACCTGAATTGACTTAGACTTGTGAGTTGCTAAGTAGGAGAGAAAGAGGATCACAAATCTGAATGCATTTTAGACAGAGGTGCACAGGAAGCCCAGCATGGCTCTCCCCCTCAATGGAAGACTCTACTCCAGAGCTGGGACAGCCTTCCATATTTCGTAGTCCTCTCAGACCAGGGGCATATGACACATGAAATTCCAGAAGCAGGTCTTAATACATGAGGCAGTAGTAGCACAATAACTAATTTAGAGCTAAACACCTTTCCTTCCCAAGCTTGCTGTCATGGGTAAGACTGTGTGCCAATGATTGCCAGACATAGCTGGAGCCTGCGGCTTCTCTCCCTCTGGTGGTTCAGCAGAACAGGAGTCTGGCCAGTTATAAAGCCTGGTGCACAGTCTATTTGTTTCCATAACCTTTTAATTAAGATTTTACCTGGAGCTTCTAATTGAATTTTATGTTGCAGAGAGGCAACTTCTTGTGTGCTAATGACCCTGCTGCTGTGTAACATAACCATTGCCATCCTGAATGTATATATTTCCAAACAATATGAGTGAGAAGCCAAATGGCTGGAAGAATTCTGCAGCTTTGCAGAAGTGATGGGGGGGGGTTACATTTGTCACCTGGTCACAGTCTGCCTACCTGCCTCAATGGAAACTCTTTTCTTATTTTCTCTTTAAAATATTTATTGAGTAGCAATTTTTCTTCTATTCTTAGGAGAAAACAAACAAACAAAAATTAATTCTCAATTCACAACAAAGACTGTCAATAGAAATATCAGAGAATTTGGGCTCAAACTTCTGACAGCATTTAGTTTTTCATATTGACAGGCTACATTATCCAAAACAACATGATGGTGTAAGCAGCATTTCAATTCAGTCAGTCTGAATGCAGCCCAGGTCTCTCTCTGTTCTTATCTTTTTTATTAATGCCATGAAAAGAAAGTCATTTTTTGCTTTATTTCAAATTCAACAAACCACTAATCTAAGGAAAGAGGACGCAATCCTCCTTCTCAAACCCAGGGTAGCCTTGGCAGCACACAAGCCCCCATCAAAGGCAAACATGGCTGTAAATAACAATCATTTCCTATTCATGAAAGCTGCCCTTGACAGTCCAAGAAATAACAAATTACATGTGAATAGTTCCCAAGAGCTTCGGAAGCACTTTAATCACCCTGAATCTGTTTTGATGTTGTTTCTTTGCAGGGGGATTATTAACAGCTTGGAGGAACTAGAGCCCAGTTTGTGATTTCTGGGTGTTCTACCTGAGCCGAGTTGGAGGCAGAAAAACTCACTGTCCTTTATTAATGTTATTCTTCCTAGAAAACTAAGACATTCATGATATTTGAATGCCATCTGTTCAGAAATACCCTCTCCTTTCTTTATATTTGCACCATAAAAGGGTGCTAATGAAATGCATGGCCTGCTTTCAGGATGATGACCTAAAGGCAAACGCAATTCATCCTTTCTTTTGATTCACCAGCTCTTCATTTCCTAGGCCTAATGAGTTCTTACAGTGTTGGTGCTTGATGGGGAATACAGCAGAAATGAAGGTGTTTTTATGGAGTAGAGAATGAGCCTAAATCTGTATCCAAAGGGCTATTGACCCCGAGCCTGTGAGGCAAGGACTGGAGGTAGAGTAGAGAGGTCTCAGCATCCTTCTGAGTGGGAAGAGGCCTTTCTTAGCTAGAGAATTCTCTTCTTGGAGTCCTGGTACCCACAGTTCATATGACAGGAACCATCGCCATCACTTCCAGGCAGGTGCTGTTAAGGATGCTAAAATAGGACTAGATGATAAGGATGGAGCAGGGATTAGTCACGGTAGCTGCTCACACAATGCCCAATCAAAGAGCACCCAATTGTGAAGACTCTTGAACTATATAATGAGTTTTCTATTCTGTTTTGATATAATAACAAAGTCCTTAAATGGAATTATACTTAAGACTGAGAAGAGCCAGCTGGTGGTAATGTCGGATAATTCCATCAAGAAATTCAGCTAGCGTTCTAATGTTAAAGTAGATGCTTAGGTGATTCGATTTGTATATGCTTATCTACTATTTCCAGAAAATGACAATTTCTATAATCGTTTGAAAAATAATTCCCACAGTTTCTTCCCGTGAATGAGTTTCTTTATCCCAAATCATGGTCTGACCTCAATTTTATTTTGTCATGCGTCTTTCATTACAGAAATGGAAAGTGAACTAGCTGGTATATTACAAAATTGTGTCTGTTGTCAGGTGCTGTAGTTCAAAAGATGCATTTGCAAGCTAACACAGCTCTGCTACATCACTGTGTTCTGGCAGCGAGACAAGAGTTTCACCTGCAGAAAAATCAGAGCTACTTCTGCCCGAGGCATCGAATGAGAATCTGACAGTTCAAGCAGCTTCATGCTTATATTTTAAGATAGGAAGTGACTTCATTTTTACATAAGGGGCACATTAGTATGCATACGCATAAATTGCATATGCGAGTGTATGGTATATGTGTGATATGTATATGTGTACCA